TTTTTTGATTTATAGTGAAAATGATAATAAACCAGAATTTAAAAATTCTTCAATAGAATTAAAATTTCATGAAAATATATTTGGTGGATATAAAATATTATTTGAAGGTGCAAAAGATTTGGATGAAGGTTTAAATGGTAAAATTCGTTATATACTTGATTGTTCAATAAAAAAAGAAAAACTATTAATAAAAGAAAATAAAAATAAATCATTAATAAATTGTTATCCATTATTTGAATTTGAAATATTATCCCAATCATCATTATTAAATCAATATGATCAATTAGCATTAAAATTTATTTCACCATTATTATCAAATGAATATATTGAAAATGAATATAATTTAATATTATATGCAATTGATTATGGTTTATATGATAAAGAATTATTTAATTCAATGAATATAAATATTAAAATAGAAAAAATATTAAAAAAACCAAAATTTTTATTATCTGAATATGAATTTATAATAAAAATAAATTCTTCAATTAAAAATGGAACTATTTTAGGTTATGTTAATGCAAAATCAAATGATAAAAAAAATAAAATTTTATATAAATTAATAAATAAAACAAATTTTATTGAAATAAATTCTTTAACAGGTCAATTATATTTATCAAATGAAAATTTTATTAATATTAATAATTTTAATAATTATATTGAATTATTAATTGAAAGTTTTTATTTAAATAATGAAAATATAAAATCTTTTACTAAAGTTAAATTATTTTTTCGTTCATTTAATTATATTAATAATATATCATATCATTTTAATATTAAATCATTATTTATTCAACAATTAAATAATTCAAATACTTTTTTTATTTATAAAAATATATCAATAAATGAAATATTATTTCAATTAAATATTTTATCTTATTATTATCCATATGATAAATATATTCTTTCACTTGAGAATTATTATTCAACATTTTCACTTCTCTCTTCTTCTTCTTCTTCAATAAATAATTTTATATTAAAAACTTCAAATTATCTTATGTCAAATTTAATTTATTTATTAAATATTCGAATAAAACATGAATTAACTCAACAATGGTTATTAACAAATATAACAATACAATTTATTGTTATTGATCAATTAACAACTACTTCTAATCTTATTCAATCATCTTTATCTTCATCTTCATCTTCATCTTTACTTAACATTTGTTTACAAAATTCAACTTATTTTCTATATGATATTTATAATAAAAATCAAATTGGACAATTAAAAGTAATTCAAACTAATTTACATATTTCATTTTTTTCAAATTTTATAATTTTACTTAATCAAAATGAAATAATTATTAATCAATGTCGAATGTTAATTAATGAATTTGATTTAAATTATATAAATAAAACTCAATATGAATTATGTTCATATAATTATTATTGTTTTAATATTACAATAATTAATCAACAATTTTCTTTGTTTTCTACAAAAAGTAAAACTAAAAATTTTATTTTTAAATCAATTTTATCACCTCGACCTATTGAAATAACAATCTTTGCTTTTTCACTTGTATTTATTTTGGCAACAATAACATTAATATTAATTATTTGTCGACTAAAAGGTTTTCGTTTATGTTTAACAATAAAAAACTATTTATTTTATGGAAAAAAATATGGTTTAAACAATGCTCAACGTCTTTCATCAACAAAAATGACAGTAAGTTAATCACAATTCTTGCTTTGCGAAACTCCATCTGAAAGATGATGTTGAAATACAGAGGTAGAGATTTCAGACTCGTTTCTTCTCACTCCTACAGACGTAACGATATGAACGTCACAGATTGTGACATTATCAACAGCATCTTGTTATAATATAAATGAATTAGTTTCTTACTGTATGACAGCATCTATATATAATCATCTGAGAAATGTGTACGATACGCTAGTCACTGAATACAAAATATCGAAAAAAAATCGTGTATCTTTGGAGGGACTATTTAATGTCATTTAGAAAATTTCGTTGAGAGTATCAAAGTATGAGTTTACCGAGTTCACGCCGAAGAATTTTGAATTTGACAGACTCTGCAAAAGAGATTGTGCTAACAGCATTTCTTTTCTTCTTTACAATTCTATTATTTCGATTATGATTTCTTTAGCAAAGAGTTCATTCAATTGTTGTTCGAGAATCTCGATCACCTTCTTTTGAACACATCAAATCTAGTAAGTCATTGGATTTTGTAACTTTGCTATTTTGAATAAATATTTATTTTAGAACCATATATGTTTAATATTAATCAAATTAGTGAACAAGACACAATCCCATCAATAAGTATATATCCTCAATTATCTCCTCCTCTACCAATATCATTATCTTGTGCATCATCACTTCAACAGGAAGAACGATCAATGTCAAATGTTGATAATGAGATAACACCTCGAATGTCAGCATCTTCATTTATACAAGACACAAAACAATTACTAGATATCATGTCACTAAATCAGGATTTACATATGTCAACGTTAGCTTCTGAAGTTTAATATGTACATTTTTATGTAACAGTTGCTTTTGCTTGTTTTCATGTTGTGGTGTGTTTTGATAACTAAAAATATAAAAATCATTAAAAGTGTTGCAAAAAAGTCGCTTTTAAATAGAAAATATCTTAAATCAACATAACAAAACAAAGCAAGACGAGTGAGTTGTAGAATGAATTAAATCATTGATTTCATAGTTTCTAAGTTTTTTGTTTTTTAATGTAAAAAAGAATAAATGAGTAGTATTTCATTTATAGCACAAGCTTACATAAAAACAATCACAGTAATATAATAGAAGATGCCACTTTGATTATGGTTAAAATAATTGGACCAGCAACTTTTAAAATTGGTGCACATTCTTTAAGTCGAGTTGACCATATACTTTTTTTTGCTAGTGCAGCACGATGACGTTGTGACTGTTTGATTAGAACAACAGTGAGTGCAGTGGAACTTCCTATTGCAATGATAGTTAAGAGGATAATAACAATTATTTTCGCAGTATTTCGTTCAAAGCATGAATCTTCATCATGATATCGATCATCATCATCAACCATATTTCTATTTATTTGACTCGTTTGAAAGATAACAGAAAGATAAATAAGAACACAAATGATTTTTTTTTTTCTTAAACTAATAATGAGAAAGAAGTTAATATTTTTATCACGCGGGTTATTTGTTGAAAAACGAACTTATAGAAAATCGTTTTTATGTTCATCGATCAAAAATTGTTTCAGCTATATCTGTGAATAATTCTTTAAATGTTGTTGCAATTGAACCCTTGTGTGCTTTTATCCATTTGTAAACAATACCATCTTTCATAATTATATCTAAAACTTTATTTGCAACATGATGTTTACATTTAAATTCATTTTTAATATGTTGACGTTTACGATCACGTTCTGTTTGTTTATGTAAAGTATGTATTAATAAAACTGATGTTATCAAAAGAATAAGTGAAAGAAGACTATTGATTATTATAAACCAATATCTAGAACAACATGATGAATTTTCATGATTACCATTCATCGTTTTTTTGTTATGTCTGTCATCTGAAGATTTTGTAGACATAATGCTTGTATCACTCATTGCTAATAGTTATTTAACTATAAATCAACAAAAATTAAAAGTCATCTGTTTTCAATGAACAAAATACAGGTAACTATGACAATTAAAAGGTATGGAAAACATGATAGCACGAGTTCTTATCATGAAAAGTTGATGAAATGAAATAGTCAGAACAAATTTGTCAATTGTATATGTACTAAAAGTATTTCTCATTTATTTTTCTTTCATTGCTACTCTATCTCTTCTCTTTACTGCATTTATTTTTATATTATGTTTCATTATTGAAGAAATATAAAATATTGACCAGAGTTGAACAAAATCAAAATACCAAAACAGAGAATAGACAAGAGTTTGATATTTGTACGTACATTCTAATTATTAGTAGAGAAAAATCAGTCATTTTCCGCAAGAATATTGTCGCCTCATGCACAAACCTAAGTATAACCATAAGACAAGGACATAAAATAGTAAGTGCAGAATATAACACATAGAACCAAGTTTCCACGAATATGATGTGACCCATTAGTATTACTTTAGAATTGTCATGTACACTATTCAAACAATAAAGAAACTATTGAAATTCGGAAGACAACAGTCAACGTAATAGTTTCTGAATACATTTATGTTGAGCTCACAGAAGTAAAATTGTTTCATTAATAAAAATATTAAGCTATCTGAACAAGGAAGGGCTTTCCATGGGATAGTTTGAAAATATTCGTCAAAAGATTTTTCATCTTCATCCAACGACACATTAACAATATCAAATCGATCGTGTAATTCAGATTGAACTTTCTTGTAACATTTAGCCAATACGGAAGTGCAGTGTTGATACAGTCCATATCAATGTGACCTTAAAAACGCAATTTTTTGAAAATGTGGTTAATTTCAGTATTTATCTTACGAAAAATAGATTGCTACAACTTGGTTCTCAAGTTCACTGGTTAGTACTTGTCGATAGGCTTTGTTACTTTGGCCAGCATTGACTTTGAGTAAATTTTCTCCTAGCAAGGCACTTAATTTTGTCGTCATTTGGTATGCACGTCAGTTAAAGAGCAAAGCATATATCGGTGGGAGATTGTATTTTATGTTTTATATAAAATGAAAAAAAAAAAGAGATGCTCATCGGTACCTATTCACAATCAGAGACGTATTTTTTCTTTCCTTCAATGCTTGATGCAAAATAATTACTAATGAAAAATTGAAACGATATCTAAAAATGTTTTTCTCTGTGCACATGTTTTTGATAATTGTAAGAAAGAATTACACGAAAGTAGTCTAGCTTACAATTGCATCAAGATGAATCATTCTTCAAGAGCATAAACTGCGCTGGTGGCCACACTGGACGAAGAATAGTATCGGCTTCATCAGACAGAAAAAAAGTCAAAAAAAAGAGTAATACTCGCATGAAAGACAATTCCTTTTTTTGCGATGTCAAGCACCTTTCAACGGCTGTCGATGATTCACACATGAACATTTTTTTATTCCTCTTAATTAGTATGATAGCATGGTAGACGTGTGCAAAATGCACGAGGTGTCCCCTTTCTGGGGTCTACAGAGATGTTTCGATTTTGCTTAGTCAGAAATGAGTGCCAAATAATTATGTTGGTTAACTTCTTCAATTCAAAAAAGAAAGTGAGTACGGAATCCGTGAAAGTGTAGAGCAAAAGAGGATTCACCAACACTTTCAACGAAAACATCGATCAAAAGAATAATTACATTCGAATCAAGGGATCAACATAGTGTTGTTTTTTTGCACCGTGCAATGGCTGATTTTGAAAGATTGAAAATCAGCACCTTTATCCAAGTCTTTGTGTGATATTTGTTCGTTATTATGTAGACTCTGAATTCAGCATATTTTGTTCAAAAAATGATTACTCCTGAGAACATTTGATGCTTTGAAATGTACATTTTTTTTCAACAAACTGAATCAGAAGAATGTTATTTAGTTGCTCTGTCTTTCGAGTGAATGCACCTAGTTACCTTGGATAATTTTGGAAAACATATTTGGTTTGACTTTCAAAAGTCAAATACATTTATGATCAACGTTGACTTGTGAATTAATCGAGCCAAATATTGCTGTAATTTGTCTGATTTTGTGGATATTGTATCTAAATCATAACTCTAGTCGTTGCATTCATCACTGATGTATGCATCTTGGTATGATACGAAAATGTTTGTTTCTTTTGTTTTTCCCAGGCTATGTTTGTGCAGCTCTTGCCTTACATATTAATCTCATTGTGCCCATTCAATGTTCATGACTCCACATAGTTGATGGCATCTCAGATGTAAAAAGGGTAACTAAAAAATGACGTGTGTTTGATTCAAACATTCACATAAGTAATTGCAAAATTCGTTCGCGTAAAAATGCCAATCGTACTCGATCGACAGACAATAATCATTTAGTTCGTTTAATTTGAAATAGACGTGAGAAGTCTCTAACCTGCATTTTTTTAGAGGTTATGTTGTGATCTGATTTTGGATTTTCACCTTCAGTATCAGCCTTTCTCTCCTGATTGTTAATAATACTGTAATCGATCAACAAATAAAATGATGCAAACGTTGGTGTATGTGAAGAGTAAGCTACGACCACCAATTCAGGGGTTGCAGCAGGGAGGTACGAAGAAGAAGGATTTTGAGAAGGAATTTTTCAAAAAAAAAAGAAGGAAATTCGAACAAAAGAAGGAAAGGAACGAAAAGAAGAAACTTTCCGAAATAGTGCGCTGCAACGAATAGATTTTGTACAACATCTAATAAGAAACAATAGAACTGAGCCTAAGGGAGTAAAATAATTTTAAAATTATTATTTTGTCACCTTTCACGGACATTCTCCTGGTTTTATAGAGAATAATAACAGAGAACGAATTTCAAAGGCGAGCACTTGTCTCCTTGGCCGTGTGACATGCATGAATGTTGTTGTCATCCCCATGTCTCAATGACTCTTTCGGTAGTTTTACAGGTCATGCACACCCTCACCCACATGCATTACTATGTTGTGTAGTGATCACAAAAATTCGTATATGATCAATCTATCCACTAACAGAATGCCAGAAATATGTGGCACCATCTTGACTCTGTTCTTGGAAAAGAAGTATCACGCACAGCGGCTACTTCTATCAGCTACTTTTACACTAGCGGGACAAAGAGTTAGCCTAAACACATCATTTTGTCGCCGAGATGTGACAAGTTGAAGATGATTCGAAATTAAGCTGACTGATTAATTTACCTCTTAATGTCGAAAGGTGAATTCAACTCGAAATCATCTTTCAACTTATAACAAAATATTTGCCGTCATCGGACATTTCTGACATATCCCGCTTAGATTGAGATCAGGAGTCTGAATGGGATGGGATGGAATGGGACGAAAAAATCATCCCATGAGCCCACTTTATCTGTTCCATCCCATCCCATGGGATAAACCGTCTAATCAAAACATCTTTTTACGCCATTATTCGACTTCTATGACTTTCCTATTCAATCATCTCAGTTTCTCTTAACCACTTCCCGTTTACATCAGTTAATTGCCATCTAGTTTTTTTTATACGAAGCTCATAAACCCTACTGCTTTCTTCAATGACAAAAATGCAGATCTAAGACCCTAGCGAACTTCAAAGAATACGATAGTAAATTCATCAGAAGCCATCGGATCCGTCTGAATTTACTAGAGTCCACTAGAATCCAGGATCTGTTTTTTTCTTAGAAGATTTCAACTGCATGTCGCTAAATATTAAGAAGTAATAAAACTTCTTCTCCAGTTTACTTCTCATCCATGAATCCTCAGCTTCTGATGAGTTTAGTTAGTTTGCCCAGATTGCTTAAGGTCCCTGAAGATCTTTTCGTATTCTAATGCAATCCAATAGATTTCTGCATATCTTTATAGGCTCTGACGAATTTGATAATTGTTGAGATTCAGCAGAATCTATCAGAATTTTCAATCGACCTAT